GGGGGGGGGGGGGGGGGGGGCGCGGGATTTTGGCACTGCAAGCGTGCAGACGTCTAAGGGTGAAACATGAGATTACATCTCAAAACCTCAAGACACTTATCTCCACTTTCGGAGCTTTCAGCTTCCGTTGTATCTCGAGGTTCTTCTTCGTGTTGACCTCGCTCGCTCGAGGCTTTTCCCGGCATTGCCTGCATGCTTCGCGGGCTCGTGCGTAGAGCTTCTCGCTTCGCCGGGAGGCACCCTGCGCGACGACCAGTCGTTCTAGAACCGCTTCGATGTCGTCTGGTGCTATATCACGAATCACTGGCAGGAAGGCATCAACCATTGCCTTCAGAAAAGAAACTATCGAAGCGAGTCGCGGCATCCTCGGAGCGACTTTCTTTATCTCTGCTGCAGGTATGCCTTGATGTAAGCGCAGCCAATTCAGCAGGATCCTGGTGACGGAGTGTAGGTCTTCCGGCTTCAAACAAGCCTTTAGCAGTGCGACATCATTTTTCTGCAAGGCGCCGCAACGACAAACAAGCTCTGCCAGGCCTTGCATGGAGAGCTCTTTATGTCCATCCTCTTCGTTTCGCTTACGTTTCTGGCTCAAAGCAGCTGCACCCCCATCCAGTTCTCTTCGCAGTCGGCGCGCTTCGGGCGCTTCGGAGCGCCGAGCGACGAGGCCCTTCAGTGAGAAGAGCGGCAGGTGCCACTTGATGGCTGCAAAGCCAGCGCCAGAGTACACTAAGGTCACCGAACCGGCCGTCTGAGTGGAGACCGTGTGATGTGACTTCGAGTCGATCTTGATTGATGCCTGCCCGGATGCCACAGCCAAGCCGTAGCGAGCTTCCCGCAGGTGGAAGGATAACGTGCTACCTTCACAGTGCAATTCCGCGTAGTAGCCCGCGGTGGCTGCCACTTGGCAACTCGCTGAGGGCTCGGGCAACCGTACCACATTGTTGTCTTTGTCTCTCAGCACAGTCGTGGCTACGTGGCACACCGTTCCCTGCTCAGCGTGGCCGTTGGGTGTACCTCCATTCATCATGACTGGCTCCCGCCAACAGAGCAAGACTCGCTCCTCTTCCTCGTGGGTTACCACCGCCGACTCGAGCCGTCCCGCAAGAGGGCTGATGGAACCCGTGTGAAGCATGCCCCGCCTCTGCAAGGACACTGCCTGGAATTCGTCCAGCTCGATGATCAGAAACTCCGGCCCGATGCTTCCACGATCCGCACGATCCCGAACCATGAGCACCTTTCGTTTTGCAAGTCGGGTCAATGCCACGCACTTCTTAGCTTCGCCGAGCTTAAGGCCTTTGCCACCTTTACCACTTGCTAAGTCCACAAAACGGAGCTGGCCACTTGAGATTGCAAGAGCGGCAAAGCCATCACCAGCATCACAAGCGGCTCGGATCTCGCCTGGCAGGCACACCCTCTCTGCCAGCTGTGGAGATGGAGCTTTACCATCTTTGCAGACAAGCTGGTAGCACGCCCAGGACTTCGGTGGCGTCTCTGCAAAGGATATGTAGCAAGAGTCTCCGGTTTGATGATGCAGCATGCCGATGTGTGAAGCAATGGCGCCTGAGAAGTTCCCCCCCTCTCTCCATGAAGAGTTGTCTAGCGACAGGTCCAGGTATTTGAACCCAACACCAGGAAAGAAAACAATGAAACTGCCATCCGTCGCGGTCGGGCTTATTGCAGCGGCATCACCCCATGACGAGGGCGGAACGTCCAGAGCTTGGAAGTCTAGGCCACGGGCTCTGGAGGCCATGGCATAGGAGCAAACTTCGAGCCACGGAGCTTAATCTCCGGTGGAAGTTAGGAGGGCACATGTGCAATCTGCTTGAGCAATCACATGTCCTGCAGCCAAGACGTGATCCCCGGTTAGCACGAAGGCCATGCGACCGGCACTCAGAAGCGATAAATCTCGCATATGCGGAGCCTCTGCTCCATGGATCATCCCATCTCCACAGATCGGAGAACAAAGAGATGTCGCATTCGTGGGCCCGTAGACATAGGAGCGGCATGTCCACCCCACCTGCGGACAAAGCAGCAAGAGCCTGGAGAACTGGGAAGAGATGCGAAAGCATAAACCGTGTTCAGGGAGGATCCGACGGACACCTCCACATGGCAACTGCTGTCGCAGCCATCTGCTAAAAGCAGGTTGCCATCGTCGCACTCCTGCTCGACTCAAACTGAGTGATGTCGCCCAAATGCGATCGGAAAAATGCCCTCTGTGCATCTTCTGAGCCCTTAGCCTACCCTGGAAACCTGGGTTAGACGAGATCACCCGTTGTGGGTGTTTCTCCTCCCCCTCCAAGCGCAGATAATCGCCACAAAGCTGCCGGCAGTCTGCCTGGGCAACATCGGTTGGAAAGCAACTTCGGTTCCGGCTGCCGGCACAGAGGAGGGAAGGGAGGCTGAAAACCGGCTCTTACGCCACAAGCTGCTGCAGATGCTGACTCTAGGCAATTCCAATGGCCAGGCACCTGAGGAAACACAAGCTGGAGCCTGCCTGAGAAAGCAGACTGGTCTAGTCGTAAGCACTATAAGCCTAGTGCGAACGTGCAGGGCATACGGGGTTGGCCTACTCGTGCTAAACTGACAGTGACAATTAACAGCCCCACATGCAGGTCAATGACCTGAACTTCAGCACCACAAGGCTGCTGTCCCAGCCTAGAACAGTGGGCACTGGTCGACTTAGATCCCATATTCCAATTCATGTCAACGGCTCGCAACTTTCCTGACTCGTGCTGAGAGCCTGGCCCCAGGTGGCCAACAACGATAGCCCTGGCCAGTCCATATAAGACGAGAAATGCTGCTGTGCTTGTCGGCAAGCAGAGCTTGGGTCCTCTGGGTCGTTTGAGTGGAAATATCTCCGTTTTGTTCACATGCCTTTCGAAATAGCAACCTAGACTCTCCATCTACCGTCTAGTAGAATGCCCTTAATTAGGGACCATATACCCCTATTTGAGGGTACAAGGAGGGTCCTGGAAGACTTGAAGCTTCGTGTTGACAGAAACATGCAGCAAGAGAGAAGCCAGGAGTGCTGACTGTGCATCGAATCCACGACCCATTCACAGCTCCTCCAAGCATTGCTGAGGCTCCCGTGCGGTCTCGGCGTTCCCCAGAAACAGACGGGTAAGAATCCAGACGTTCAGGAACCACGCAAAGACGGCTCGGCACTCCAATCGCTCAAATTGCTGTCGAGCGCGCATAGTGTGTTCATCCAGTCAGGGTCGGAGCTTCTCGACCTGCACCCTCCTCCACATGTGTCACCCGACCTCGCAAGCTCGAACTACGCGACAGGCACGGTAATTCGTGAGTTTGCCGGTTTCCAACGGGCCCGTCAAAAAAGCTGTGGTTGCTCCGCGCAAGTTGCACCCCCTTTCGGGCTTTGGGCCTTCCCACAAACATAATTCTGCAGGATTTTGCTCCCCTCTCGTTCAAACACGTGGCAGGCACGGTAAGTCGTGAGTTTGCCAATTGCCAACGGGCACACAACTTCCGTCACAAAAATCTGGTGTTTAGACGCAAGTTACTATTCCCGTCTCATGTTCTGGGCTTTCCCAACGGATGTTGTTCCTTTCCCTGGTTTCGAGAAGCACCCACACCGCATCACAGTCCTCCGCAAAATCCGACACTCTGACCCCTCCATGCGCAGCGTCTCAAGAAGAGGAGGGCCCCTGCCTCTTCAAGCTTACAGTGCTGGTCACATCCATCCTCGGCAGAAAGTTGAAAACAGTTGCGCGGGACTGTCAGGAGAATGAAGCATCTGGGGGCGGGTGGAGGCGTAGTGGGCGTCACGGGAACTTGCGGGGGGACTGTTCTGTACGCAAGCTACAAGCATCCAAGCGCCGCTCTCCCTTCCCATCGTTTCCATCGTCGCACTCTTCTGGTGCCCGCAACAAGCCATCTCCACCTCGCCGAGCATTGCATGGGCCTCTCTCACTGCAGCCCCATGCTGAGACTGCTGCAAACGGGCGCGCAGGCGGACCGGGTCAGCGACGAAGCACCTGCCACAGCAAAACCCATGCTTTGAGGGGGTGCAAACTCTGGCTGCGGCTTGCGGCTCAGGCAGCGCCTCCGCTTTGGATGCCACAGGCATAGCCACTTTCCACTCGGCAATTCTCGTCCTGTCTGTGGGTCTGTAGGGCTTTAGACGGGAGGAAGCCCTGCGGCAAAAAAACAAAGTCGTCAACATGCTGATGTCTGCTGTCCGGGCAGAGGGGTGCGTCTGAGGCTGAGGCACAGCCATCATTGGGAACACGATTGCCATCCTGAGGGTGGCACACTGAAGTCCTGAGGTCCTGCATATTCTCTCAGATCCGTACTGAGGTCAAAGCATCGCACTCCTCTCCGTTGCCGACCAACACTACGCCATCACCGCACACAGGCACACAAATGCTCCTCGAAGTGGGGAAGCAAACTGCTTTCGAGAAGAATGCTGGTGCAAATCTCTGGACCATACAAAACTCTTCTGCCTCATGGCAGACGGAGGACCCTCACAACCCTCCATCCTGTTTTGAGCGGCAAACGGTGGCCCAGCCGCGGCCTGCCATCCCAAGCGCCGTTCAACTCTTGTGACAGGCTTGGGATCGGCTGCCTCCGGCTTCGTCATAGCATCTTCAGGAGTGCAAACGAAGCCAGGCTCCTTTGCTAGAAGAGACTTTCTTCCACTGTGCAACTGTTGCAAGCTTCTGGTCTGCTCACTCTTGGGGCGTCGCCGTGTTGCAGGTGGTGCTGCATCCGTCCCCGGCGTCCTGCGGAGGACTGACAGCAGAGCAGTATCACCCTTTTCCGACCCGTGGTAACTTGACTGCAAAGCTGACTCTCAAAGGTGTCCAGGTTGCCGTCATCGCAACCTTCGCTGCCCACCACAAGTCCATCGCCACAGATGGATTCCAGCAGCAGTTTGCTTGAATTTGCCTTTCGTAACACACAAAATGCAACCCCAGTGCTTCTGATGATCTCCACAGGATCTCAGCTCTAATGGCTGGTGGGGGGTGGGGGGGCGTTGCCTGGACCTTCGTGCGCCAACCAACTTCGACTTGGCAGACCGGGTCGCAGCCGTCACCCGCCTCCCAAAGACAGCGTCTCGGCTCTCGCTCTCCGCGAGAAGCTGGGGCGCTGACCAGGTTGTTTCCATCGTCGCACTCCTCTGCCGCAGGCCCGAGCCTGAGTCGAGCAGTGAGTCCGCCCTGAAACGGCCCGGCCCGGAACTTTCTGCTTGCCGCCGGCTCGATGCGGAAGCCATCGCCACACACGGGCATGCACTGGCTGCCCGAGGACGTGCTCGTGAAGCGATGTTGAATCGGCTCACCTGATTTTGCACGATCGGGTCTGCTTACATACATACCTACCATACCATACCATACCATACCATACCATACCATACCATACATTTTCGGCATTTCGGTGCACTCAGAGGTGTTCGCGGCTTAATTTGTTGCAAAGGTGACTCGACTGCTCGAAAAGGGGGAGGAATACGATGCCGCCAAAAGAGTCTGGAGTGGTGAGGCTGATCTCACGTCCAGCCAAAATTGCTGTCCATCCACTTCGCAGCTCCTTCGGCATCAGAATCCCTAGGTCGCACATGACGGCTGAGACAGATGCGCCCTTCAGATGACCTTGCCATTCAGCTTCCCAGCGATCGGTCATCGCGATGTCGACGCAATCTGGGGTCCCGTCATGTACTTCGAGGTCGGCAACATTTGGCACATGGGCAGTCCTGGATCAAGGCGAGGAAGGACTGGAATGTTTTGGCATGCCTCGCTGCTGCCTCCTCTGGCCTTGTGACTGTCCACTGTCCTTGGTTGGAGCGCTCCAGCACCGCTAGGATTTTGCCAAGTCCGCTCGGGGTCCACATGAGCATGTCCTCAGCATGGAGCAAGCAGATCTATGACAGCGACGACCTCATCCGGGTGGGCCGGGTGCTTGCTGAGGATGGAGTCAATTTCAAATTGGATCGGAACCTCGTCGTCAACCTCGACGATCTGGAAGAGGAAGTCGCAAATGTCCTGGTAGACCTGCTTTTCAACTCCATGCCACTTTTCCTCTGCAAGCTCGTGTAGTGGACCATTGTGCTGCTTTGGCACTGCCAGAGTGTAGGCTCTCTCGGGTTGCTGCCTGTTTGGAAGGACCTGTTCTCGTCGTTCGCCAGTGCCTTGTAGCACAGCCAGGCTTTTTTTGCTGGCCCTGAGGTGGGCGCTCAACCTCCTATTGGTCCAATAATCAACATGGCATGCCTGGCATCTGGATCCATACGCATGATGCCTGTATTCCGCAACCCTGTTGTGCACCTTGAACAGATGCACACTCAAAGCAGCACGTGTGCCGTAGGTTTTGGCACACTGACGACAGCTTCATTGCAGAACCTGACCCTCTACTAGGCAATCTTTCAACCAGTCTTCGATGGCAATCCCGAAGGCACAGCGATATTGCATCCTCGATGCATTGTGGTTCATGAGCTGCTCGCAATGTCTGCCTGACCATGCGCTTGCAGTACTGCGGCTGCTGCGGGCGATCTCTGAGGAGCTGTGCCCACAGCGGCCAGGCAGCTCCACATTGCAAAGGCCACTTGTCACAAGCCAAGCAATGTCCAGACGCAGCTCATGGAGCCAGTCAATTGCCTCCTGAAGCATGCTCCAGAGAATATCGGAGCCGGAGCTGGCAGGGAGCTAAAAGGCTGAGGCGTGCCCTCCTGGCCACGAGACCCAGACGCCAACATCCTGTGAACCGATGGGTCAGAGGTCCACTGCCCAATGTTGAAGAAGGCGGGCGTGATTGCCGTCTCGAAGATGGCAGCCCTGGTCTCGGTCGTGAAGCTGGGGTTGTTGAGCATGAAGGCCTCAACCGAGTCAAAATCGTTGGCGGCCAAGCGGTATTTGGCCTCCGGCAGCATAGACAGCTGGGCATCAAGGATGTCCCAAGATGCTTGTAAGTATCGACAACTGGTACACCAAATTCGAGTTCTGGAAGCCTCAGCTCCTGCTGTCCTGACTTGAAGAATGTCAGTCTGGCTTTCTTGGCTCCTCGACCACATAGAACGATCATCAGGTAGGTTTTGCCCCTGCGCAGGTTTGGGGCCATCCCATGGCCTCGCAGAAACTGATGATCAACGTGGCCAGTCGTTGTGTCCTAGACATCAGCTGCATCGGGCACTCCTGCGCCGTCGGGAAAGCCGCATCATCCGCCCACGTGGCGTTCGGAGAGCGATGTAGTCTGTTCCGTCCCTGGAGCATCCATAGGTTCGGCAAGCCGGGTCTCCTTGATTTCACATCCTAGATCCTCGGCAGCGACGTACTCGTGGATCTTGTACAAGATCGTCGAGTAGATGTGCGCATAGAGGAGGTCCGCCCAGCTTTCACCAGGTCTGCTGCCGGCGAGGCTGTTGCATATCTGACTTCCATCAGCAAACCGCGATGTAAGCCACGTGTGCAAATGCAAAGCCCTGTTTTAAGCTCTGAAATAAACTTTTGTGCTCTTCACGTCGGGCAGCTCCGGAGTCTCAGGAGCCGAAAAT